TATAATATATGTTTTGTCCAGGAAATCCAATAGGTTCTTTATTTGTGGCTCCTGCTGTTACTCCAGTGAAGAGTGTTTTAGAAAAGCAAACCAACAATCCTGGTGTCAGGTTATTTCAGTATGATCCTCATGGTTACCATTTATTGGTAAGTTGGCACAATTTTACAGTTGGCTTTATAGTTATGCATGTCTTTGCACTTCTGTTAGTTTAATTGAATGCTTCTAAGCATAGTGTATGAGTTTTATTTAATAGTGAATCTCACAATTTCTTTATTCTTTTTGATGTTTGGAATATTTGTCAGCATGTTCTAAATGTGGGCATATGAGATCAACTTTTGGGAGGCTGTTTCTGTGTCAGGATTTCAGATTTATTTAGATGGCACCCAGTATGGGCCTAATCTGTGGATTTGTATACATACCAGAACTTTTCAGTAGGCCATGTTGTCCCTGATTGTCGTTGAGTCAGTTCTGACTCATGACAATCCTATGTGTGCAGAGTAGAACTGCTCCATCGGGCTTTCAAGGCTTTGAACTTTCAGAAGAAGATCACCAGGCCTGTCTTCTGAGGCCTCTCAGATGGGTTTGAACTGTCAACTTTTCAGCTAGTAGCCAAGTGCATAGCCATTTACGCCACCCAGGGACTCCATTACTAAGCCATAACCAAAACCAAACCCATTGCCATCAATTGAGTTCCAACTACATTGACCCTATAAGGCTAAGTAGAACTGCTCACAGGATTTCCATGGCTGCAGTGTTTATAGAAGCAGACTTCCACATATTTCCCCTGCAGAAAACTTATCTGATCTGTAAGTATCAGATAATGGGGTAAATAAGACAATTGACTGACAAACTAGTCTAAAAGAATCTTTTGATGACTATTAGTTACCTATATTTGCTTTGAACCTCAGATGTTTGTGTGTGTATGTGTGTTTGTGCACGTGTGTGTATGCACCAACATGAGAAGATGACCGTGACATGCTGCTGTTGTTGTTATGTGCCAGCAAGTCAGCCCAACTCATAGCGACCTCTCCTTGAGTTGCCGAGGCAGTATCACTACAGAAGTAGATTGCCCAGTCTTCCTTCTGAGACCTTGATATAGCCCCAAGTAAAATACTTTTTTTAAAAGTGCAAAACAGTTTGTGTAGCATAACTCCATTTTATGAAAAGAAAAAAGGTAAGTAGACATGGATCTTCTAAATATATTTATTTTTGTACATTAAGTCTAAAACAGCATTCGAGTCCTTGTAAATGTTTAACATCTGGTTCTCAGGGGGTGGAGAGCCTGGATTTATAGTGTTTGCCAATTTCTGTGGTATAAATATGCCTATCATACCAATTTCAAGCTAGCAAAGTGACATCAGTAGAATAAAAATATTCCTGAAAGTTTAAAAATTGGCTTTCATGAGTTAGTACAAACCATTATCAGCACAACACTGATTTATACACAATTGTTAGATTAAATTGCTCAGTTGCTGCCCAAAAGGTTGGTACCCAGTGGTGCCTGGGAATAAAAGGTTGGTGATCTACTTCTGAAAAATCAGCCACGGAAACCATACTGAACCCAGTTCTATTCTGACGTGCATGGGGCCACCATAAGTCAGAGCAACTGTTTTTTGGATTATTAGCAATGGTTATCTCTGAGGTGTATGAATTAGTCTTTTTACTTTGTCCACATCTCTTATCATTTGGATTGTTTTTTGTGGTGCCTTTCATGATTCATTGATTGAAAATATATACAGCAGCTCACACACTTATTCACTAATGTCTACACTTATAGTTCAATGACATTGGTTACATTCTTCACATTGTGCATTCTTGCTATCTTTTCTCATATTACTTTGCCCCCATTGACTTTGACTCACTGCCCCATAAACTACTTATCCATATTTTAGAGTTACTTTTGTCAATTTGATCTGCTATAGATAGTTCTTAAAAGACTGCTGTCCTCAGTGTGAACATTCTTTACTAATTCAGCTAAAATTGTTGTTTAGATTGAAGATGACTTCAAGACATAGTTTCAGTTTGAGGTTCAAAAATTTTCTTAGGACAAAAGATTTGGGGGTTCCTCCAGCCCCAATGAATCCAGTAGTTCTGGATTCTATAAGAAGTTTTAAATTCTGTTTCCACATTTTCCACTCATCTATTGAGTCATTGATCAAAATATTTAGTAATGATAGATTGGAACTATTCATTTTTCTGGTTTCATGGCAAAGGTAGCAGTACTTCATGGAGATAAGTATACCTACAGTCCAGTTCCTTCTCTGGTCACTGGATCTTCTTCTTCTTCTGTTAATGCTCCAAGTGAAGAGAAACTAATGGTTGTATTTGAAAAGGCCACTAGCAAGCTTTAAGACCCCAGATACTACTCCCTGAACTGGGGAGTAGATCAGAAACTGAAAACAGAGTTATGCCAATTGGCTAGACCATCCCACAAAGTCATGACCCCAAGCCTTCAAACCAAGACAACTAATTCCATGGAGTGTTTGTTTGTACCTAAATAGTAAGAATAACCAAGCCTCTCTCCCTCTTTTCTTTTTTAGTTGCTATTGTTTTTACAAAATTATATATAATATAATATTTACCATTTCACTCTTTTTCTGGTATACAACTTAGTAATATCAGTTACATTAGTCAAGTAGGGTAATCATTACCCTTAATCAATGCCACTTTTCCCATCACCATAGACATAAATTCACTGCTTCCC